ATATAATATAATATAATATAATATAATATAATATAATATAATATAATATAATATAATATATGTAATATAAATTCCTCAGCTTGGGATTTAGAGTCTCCCACTAGTGGGTACCCACCCATCTTTCTAAGCCTTTGTTCTTGGTTTTCCTTCATGAATTCTCTGATCTAGTCATCCTGGCCTATTCTCTGTGAATGACATTCCATCTTTAGCTTCCCCAACTTTGCAAAAATGGTTCCTCCTGTCTAGAATGTGACATGTGATATGACATGTGATAAGGGCCTTGTGATAATGGCGCTGCCTCCTTGAGGAGACCATTCTGGTCCCTGTCCCCCATCACTAGTGCTCTCCTTCTTAACAACCACTTCATCTTGCTTTCCATATACTTTGAATTTATTTGTGTGTGAGCGTATCCTCCCCACTAGAATGTAAGCTGCTTGGGAACAGAGTCTCATTTTTGTTATCTTTCTAGTGCCTTGTATGTAGTAGGTACTGAATATTTATTGAATTGAATTAATGAATTAAAATGAATTAATTAAACATAAATGGTTTTTTTTTCCCCTCAAAGTAAAGGCATTTAATGAAGTGATACCATAAGAAAAGAAGCAATAAAACATTCACCCTGCCCAAACCTGGGGCATGCTCTCAGGAAGATAATCACCTCTGTGGGAAGAATGGGCAAACAGGAAATGTGTGGAGAGGCACTCCTACAGGGAACACGTATGGCTAGCAAACATATGTTTGTCATATCCTTTGTGCATGACTCTGGCACAGAGAAAAAAAGGAATAAAGAGATGAAAAAAGTCCTCAAGGAGGACATAATCTAATTTATTAAGGAGTCTGGCATCTTCACGAAGATAATCTAAAACAGAATATCCGAATGACCTTGAACAAATCATGGAACAACTCTCTGGACTTGAGTCACTTTTATCTTAAAATGAGGGGGTTGGACAGCATGACCTTGGAGGTCACTTCACGCTGGAGATGCTTTGATAACGTGTTTGTAAGAGAGTTTCAAAGAAGGCTCTGTGGGAGCAGTAGGGAGTTGAGGAAGGGCTTCATGAAGGGGGTACCATTGATTACTCTTCCTCTCATTTGGGGCAGGTTCTTGCATCTGTGAAAAACAAAATCGAGCAGTTTGCCTCCATAGAGAGAGATTTCCCAGGCCTTCTCATACAAGCCCAGCAATACCTGCTTTTCCGAGTGGACATGTCCGCTATGACCAATGAGGAAATAACCAAAGGTAATCCATCACCATTTTCTCAAGGGTGTTCAGGAGAAATGCTGCCTTTCGCCTCCTTCTCCCTTCTCTGTTCTTCCATCCCTTGGTTTAGGGACCTCTGCCAGGTAGACACTTAGCAGAAAAGAGGCACCAGCTTTGGCCCCTGGTGAGAGCTCGCTCTGGTGATGGTGTGTCAGCCCTCACCAAAGGAGAAGGGCCAGCCATCCTTTTATGTATCTGGTGCAGACCTGCCATGACAGCGCCGCAGCCTGTGCCCACCCTGAGAAGGCCTCATTGGGGCATTTATTTTGTTAACTCAGAGTGGTGCACAAAGGAAGCTGATGTACAGCTTGCCATCAGGCCGACCGTAAATAAAGCCGAGCGTGTGGGCCTCAAGGAGAGAATATGTGTGTGTGCCCATCCGTTGGTTGTTGACTGGCCGGACACAAAGGGGAGCGTGAGCTCTCTTTATTGTGTCTGTGTGGTTTTTTTTGGGGAGGGAGTTGCCAGCCAAAAATAAATGTGCCTTAAGGTGCTAAGAGGTGAAATACATGAGGCTGGACTACCAAAGTGTAATTTATGCTTGTCCTTAAACTCTTGCTGGGGCCATTTTTTAAAAACAACTGCAAAGGAAGTGATGAGAGACCAGTTCAATGCAACAAACATTTATGGTTTACTGTTTATAGAGAGCACTGTGTTGGGCATTGGGGAAGATTTAGCCTAGATAAGATACGGTCTCATCCTCCATGGAGCTTATAGTCTAGGGTTGGGGGGAGGATGGGGAGGAAAAGAGACAAATTCAAAGAGTACTTTGGTAGCTTTCTGTGTTATTTATCAAAGCTATAAGAGAGCCAAGGGAGGAAGTTGTTGCTGACAAGGAGCGTCAGGGAAGGCTTCCTGGAAGAGATGGCATTTAGTTAGGAGTTAAAAGATAGGTAAGAATTCAGTAGATGAAAAGGGGTGAGGTTTAGAATATTCTAGCCATAGGGAACATGGAAATCGAAGACACAGAAGGAGGAAAGTACAGAATGTTTGGACAACAGACCGTTTGACTAGAGTGCAGAATACATAGAGAGGTGCAATCTGGAAGGCTAGGCGAGCCAGGAGGCGTCCGATTTTGGAGGTCTTTGAGTGCCAGACAAAGATACATGACATTTACTCGGTGGTTGGTAGGGAGCACTGAAGATTTTTGAGGAGAGGGGATGACATGACTAGATCAATACACAAGGAAGGTGAAGTCTGGCAGTGCTATGAATATAAAGGCTGGAATGGAGCAGGGAGAAGGTGGAGGTTGGAAGCCCTTTGAGGAGGCTGTGCATCAGTCCAGGTGCTAACAAGAGCCTGTCCTGGGATGGTATCAATGACAGTAGAAATGAGAGGATGAGTATGAGGATGTCACAGGAGTAGAACTGACAGGACTGAGGGAAAGGGAAGCGCTGGGGATAAAGGGATGGTGGATGTTAATCCTGCTGCTTCAGTGCATTGTTGGTGTAATAGCGATTGCTCTTTTCTTCCAAACCCTCTTTTGGACAGTTTGCAATCACTGATCTTCTGAGTAAGGGAATGATATTGATGACACATTTGGCTAGGGGAGATCCCAAATCCCACTGGCCTTTAGTCTCAACAAATAAACCAGTCTGTTTTGGAGGTGGTATGAAATTGAGGACAAGGGCTAGGGTTAAGGTCTCTGTCACAATTTTCAATACTAGGCCAAAGGAACATGAACAGACCTCATGTGTTCCTTCTTCTCTCCCAGCCTGGGAATTCTGACCAAGCACAGACAAGTATTAGCTTAGCTTAGAAAGCTAACAGATAAGACTTCACTTTGTCGTCTTGAAGGTCCCGTCTAGCTCCCATGATCCTACTGGTTAATAAGTCACGATCGTTCACATTCTACATAGCATAAAATCATAAGTCTCCAGAAAGAGAGATCTTTCAGAGGATCCCAAAACTTAGTCTGAGAAACTCTGCTCCAATAAGGATATGAGCAGAAGGTCTAACACACCCAAATGCTGCATTTCCAATCGAGGCATTTTTTTTTTTTTTTTACATCTCTGTTAGAATGTCCTCAATTTCTCTGACCCAATCCATTCCTTCCTGAGTAATTCCAGCCCTCAATCATTTGTAGTCATTATTTATGCCCTCTTTTGTCCCCACCTAGACAAGCTGTGCCTATTATTTTTCCCCATCACTCCATATAAATCAATATTTTCAAGTTCTTAATTATCTCAGCTGCTTAAAAAAAATCAGTCTCATTTTTCATTTTTTAACAATTTTTTGGTCAGAGGAACCTTAGCTACACTGCCAATGCTACTTGGTATTTATGGTACCTTCTACATCTTATTGCTATGGTTTTTAACTGTTGAAAATGTTCCCTTTCATTGCCTAAATCTCTCTTTATTATTATTTACTGAACGCATCACAGTTCACAAAACAGGGCTAAGAAGAGCTACATAAGTGCTGCAAAGGTAGACTGTGTCGCTTGAAGGAAAATAGAAGATACTTTGTTCACTTAAGGAGGAATTCAAGTTCCTAGAAGGTGTGGCCATATCCTGTCCTCTGCAATTTCTCTATACACTCAGTGGTTAGGTGGGGCTGCTTTCTGAGAGGAGGTCAAAGGAGTGATACTGCTTATCCAGGGTGCCACAAAGATCTAATGTGGACCCAGACCAGGAATGAAAACACCCCTGCATTCTAATCCCAGACCATGAACAAATGCACCATTCTAGTTGGTGGTGACGTATGTGCTGATCTCTCCCACATGGCTGAAGCTCTGTGTCATAGGTAGAAGCAATACCTTTTTCTTTTTTTTTTTTTTTTTTTTTTTTGCTTGCTTCATCTAGGACACAGTGAAAGGCACCATAGCTCAGTCTGCAGAGGCCCGGAGAGATCCTTCTAGTATGGGTCGCTGCTTCAGATCAAACCCAAGTCTTCTGATGCTAATTTCCAATCCAGTTGAACAGCTAGGTGGCACAGTAGATAGAGTCCCGGCCCTGGAGTGAGGAGGACCTGAATTCAGATCCGGCCTCAGACATTTAACAGCTCTGTGACCTTGGGCAAGTCACTTAACCCTGTTCTTCATCTCTCAAAAGAGATGGAGAAGGAAATGGCAAACCACTCCAATATCTTTGCCAAGAAAACCCCAAATGGAGTCACAAAGAGTCAGACGGGATTGAAACAAAAAGACAACAAAACCAATCCATTGTGTTAAGCATTTGTTAAGTATTATCTAAGTTCAAGGCACTGGGCTAAACCCTGAAAATTCAAGGACAAAATGAAATACAGATCTTACCCTTAAGGAACTTACATTCTCCTGAGGGGATGAGACATGCAAACAGAGGAATTTATTTTAAGGAAGTATGAATTTATTTTAGTATGAACAATATAAAATTATTTTAGGAAAAAGGACAAGTATTAAAGAACCTTGAATCTGGAGTCAAATGATCTGTGTTCAAAGCCACCTTAAGGAACACACTTAACCTTCTGGGTCCTCAATTTCTTTATCTGTAAAGTGAGGTGGTCAGACCTTCCTTTTACCTTTAGCTCTATACTCCTGGATTGCTTTGAACAAAGTCATTCAGGAAAAGCTTCCCATAGGAGGGAGGCACCATGTGAGCTGAGCCTTGAAGGAAGATGTCCCAGGGTCCTTGCTATACTCTGTCCCCACCCCACAGTAGGGGTGAGCTTCCTTTTCCTGTGACAGAACTGTCCTGTGGCTCATCTATCCAACCATCCACTGGGGCAGATCTCTAGCAAGGCTTGCCATCCTGATTTGCAAGGGAGAGAGTCCCAGCAACTGTGTCCTTTCTCCATGCTCTCATCCCTTTGCTGCCCCGTGACTTGTCTCTGGTCCTCAGTTTTCTCTTCTGTTTAATGAAGGAGGTGGATTAGGTTCTCCCAAAGTTCCAACTCTAAAATTGTATTGCCAACAACTCTAGTTGGCTGAATATCCCATGGGATAATAAGAAATGTCTGGTTGTGGGTTTCTAGTCATAACTCTGTAGGTTACTCATTGTATGGTCTCAGTTGAGTCATTTAACTTGTTTGTAGTTTTCATAGTTGGATAAAAAAACCAAACGAAACAAAAACAAGATGGTGGTGGGTAGGTGGAAGGGATTGGCCAATAATACCTGCCTGAGCTATCATAGCTTCCCCGAATCCTGAGCTTAAACAGGACAGATCTTAGACATCATCTAATCCAATCCTTTTATTTTACAGCTTGGAGGATCACAGATTTAGAGATGGGAGGGACCATGAAGATAATCTAGTTCAATTTCTGAATTTTACCAGTGGCTAAACTAAAGAGGCCCAGACAAGTGAAATTACTTGCTCAAGCTCACATATATTTCCAGTAGCACAGCTGGGTCCCCTGTCTCTAAATCTAATGATCTTTCCATGGCACTCTACACTGTTCTTTCAGGATAATTGTGAAGATGATGTAAGGGGGGGCAAGCCCCCATATTAAGTAAGTTCTGGGAGTTTTCATTAAGTGTTTTTGGAAGTATTTGGGCAGGGAAATGAAGTAATCTAGGTGAAATAATCTTAGAAACCAATGATTTTTTAAGATATTATGTCCTTTTAAAAATTAGAGAATGGCTTAGAGGAACATATTTAACCAAACAAGAAATAGGAGAAATCATAAAAGAAAATGGACGTTTTTGACTACAAGGTTTTTGCAAAAACAAAATTAGCACAGCTAGGATGTAAAAAAGTCTTTGAGAAGCATGGTACAGTGGAGGGAGTGCTGGATTTTGACCTAGAGGACATGGGTTCAAATTTTTCATCTACTACTGCCTAGGTGACTTTGGAAAAATCACTTTAACTTCTTTAGGCCTCAGTTTCTTCATCTGTAAAATGAATGGTTTGAAATAGATGGTTTCCAAAGTCCCTTCCAAGGGCAACTAGGTGGCACACTAGGCCTGGAATTGAGAAGACTCATCTTCATGAGTTCAAATCTAGCCTCAGACACTTAACTAGCTGTGTGACTCTGGGCAAGTCACTTCACCCTGTTTGCCTCATTT